AAGACACCTGACGTCCTGCTCTGCCCTCTACACACGTGTGAATGACTGTGTGCACCCATATATGTGCATGTATGACACACACAGCCTGCCCCATGCTCCCCAAGACACTCATTTGAAAGTGAGTTTTGTTTCTTCCCAGAACTGGAAGAGAGACTGTCCTGGGGCTTCCAGAAGAGTGGAGACTGCTCTTTGTGTGTGTGTGTCATTGTGTGTTCATCTCACAGGACTTGTGGTGGACTGAATGAGATGCCCCCCCCAACCCCAGGCTCATTTACTTGAATACTTGGTTCCAGGTTGTTAACTGTTTGAAAAGGAGTGGGAGGTTTGGCCTCTTTGGAGAAGGTGTGTCACTGACTGAGAGTTTTGAGCTTTCAAAACTTTTTAGTTTTGCATTTGCCTCTTGCGTGTAGATCGGATGTAAGCTCTCAGGTGTGATCAGGTGTGATCAGGTGTGACTCCTTCACACATCAGCTCAATCATCTCTCTCTGTCTTCAGCTCCCCGACCCCAATCCTGCCTCTGAGGGCTGTGTGCTCTCTCCCTGTGCAAATACGAGTCCCTTGTGCTCTTCTGATGGACTGTCCTGCTGGCACATTCCTTGCTCAGGTCTCCTCATTTAAGGGTAAGGTGGGGTCTTTTCCCCATCACTCACTGGTTTTTTGGGGCAGTGAGGAAGGAGCTCAAGCTCTCCAGTCAATGGTTCTGCCTTTATCCCAGTTCCTAGAGCTCTTGCTTCACACGTTTCTCAACTTTCCTCTTTAGTCTTGGGTGTCTGCTGTCTCCTGCACAGTCCTTGGATACATGCCCAAACCTCACATATTTTATATCCCAGGCTCAGCACTATGAACTTTACACATAGGGAAGTGAGTCTTCCTACTCAGTTAGAATTAAATTAACCAGACCGCCTGCCTTTCCCTCAAGACAATGTCTCATTCTGTCTCAGGGGCTGGCCTTTAGCTTCTAGGAAACCTATGGCCCCCTATTCCCAATGGCTGGGATTACTGCCACAAACTACCAGTCTGAAATACAATGAAACATTTCTAACTATAGCATTAAGTTGAATGGTTTAATTGAAGGGACTTATCCAAATCTGAAAACATGCAAATATTAAGTCATTAATTTCAGTGTGACTGGCGATCTGTGCTGTTGGGCCCTGGCCCCCGTTCCTTGGGTAGCTGTTGCCCTGCTTGCTGACCTTGATCAGATGTCCTCCCTATGCTAATTCCCTGCC